TCTCGCCTGAGCCCTCCACCCCTCCCATCTCTCCTTCCCTCTCTCTCACTTTCTCTGTCATTGTCTTTAATTCTTCTGCCATCTGTCTTCCTCGTTCACACTCGCTCACCCCCTTTCTCCAGCCAGGGATTAGCCACATGTTTGGCACTCCTTTTTGTGAAAATTTTCTAAATCCTCACCTCCTCAACAGTTTTTTAACAGTCTTTTCACACACTTCTTTCTCATAACATGAACACTACTACACTGGCTCTGGATGTTGTCATGTAGACATCACACACACATATGCACTATTGGTGCATTACTAAGAATGTACTGTCATTTGGGATGTTGATTAGTTAGATATGCAAGGGGACCATTGCAATGTTCAACTCCTGAGGTCATCTGAATGAAAATGTCAAAAAAGTGCCTCAAGAGATTTACAAAAAAGCCCCCACTACATCCCATCGTAGGCTGTGTTTTATGGTCCAAGCACAAAATGAGAGAACACTACCACCATGTTAAAATGCAAAATGACTGTAAGATTCATCGTGTATCATTGAATGAAAGGTTTTTTTTTACTGTTTGCCCACAGAAACAGGAAATGTTCAAATCTCATTTTGAGTCTCCAGAGAGATAAATGGCAGAGCGCTGACACAAGCATCCCATCAGTCCTGCTGTTTCAAACACAAAATGTCAGCTGTAAATATACTCTTATACAAAAAATGTCCGTCCGATATCGCTAACTGATTGACTCTTCACATCACGTTTACAGTACAAACTGACACCAATTTGTCTTTCATGAATGTGTGCACAGAGAAAAATGCTGTGAAAATCTCATCAGCTCTATTGAGTTCAATATCAACCTGTATCAACAAGAATATTAAACTATTTGGGTATGTTTAGTCTTTTAGAGCCACAAAACATGTTACATATGCTCCCGATTACTCCATTTAAACAGTCTGCATTTGATTGAATATGTGAATGGAGTGTTTATGAATTGTTCAACCAAACAGCAGTTCAGAGGAGATGCTTGTGGCACTGTTTGAGTGTTAGCTAAATAGAAATTTGATGAAAATAAAACATTTTTGTAGCATATGCCCCTTAAAACACAATGAAGCAGTCACTAGCTCTTATTCAGGCTTGTGTTCCATTTTTTTGTTTGTAGAATTTAAATCCTCACAGCAGAAACCCTAAATTTAAAAGCAGAGGGGGGATTTTGTTTTATGGCTTCTGTTTTATCTTCTGTTGTTTCAAAACGCTTTCTGAATGTTAATGTGGCACTTGCCTTTCAGTCAGCTGTGGGTCCATATGTTACACCCAGTTCACGCTGATCATTACAAAGATCTGCATCATGTTTCAGAATCAGTTCACTTAAATGGTTAAATTAGCACATCATGAGGTAGCAACTGAGCATAATGCTAGCAAAACAGCAGTGAATGCATAAACGAATGTTAAAGAACACCGACCTTGTTCACTATTCCTTATATGAAACCTGTCTAAATGAAGTTCAAGTGAAATTTTTTATTAATTGGTGCTGTCGTTTTCGTTTTCTTTCATTTATTTTGTCCTATTTTTTTCCAGATTCCTTTTTTGATCAATCATTTCTCAGTAATTAATTTATACATAGCAATGTCTACAGGGAAAGAGATGCAGATCTGGAGCTGAGATTTGATCAGGTCTTCTCCAGATTCTTTAGTGGCTAAAAATGCAGTCCCGTTAAGATTCATCTCTACTTGTTCATGTTACAGCCAAATTTTAAGGATTTAATTGACATGTTTTTTTTTTTGTTAATCCTGTTTTGTCCAGATTCATGTTATAAAAGTAGTTTCACACTGCACTTTCTCTTTGTACTAATTTTCACATGTTTTAAAATGCAACACGCTTGATGTATTTTTAACCTCAAATGCAGGTATTTTCAGTGTCTGACAAGCTTGGAAAAAAAACTTCTATTTTTCTCAGTCTCTCATAAAATATTTAACGTGTCTAATTATAGAGGCCCATGACTCACCCCGAGCTGTGAGATACGTAGGTGTTTTGGGGGTGAGAGATAAAAGAGAGGTCTGATGTCTTGCATGAAGGAATAATTTGTGTTATTGATGAGAAAAAGAAAAAAAAATGAAATTTTCACATTTATGCCAAGACATGTTATCCATGTTTCTTTGTTTTGTTTGAAGTAAAAGTGTAGTTCTAGACTTTTTTCTACTCATTTCAGAGTTATAAAATAAAATGTTAATACAGAAAGAAGCATGGATGGATTTTGATCTATATGTCTCAGCATATATCTTTCATTTTATCATAACATAAGAGTGTTCTCTTACGTTCAGGGGTCATTCAGGTAAGTTTCATTCATATAGGACTCCACTGATTATGGTCCCTCATGCAACATTTAAAGGCATGGTTGACCCAAATATAAAACTTCTGTCAAGTTTATTTCTTCTGTTGAACACAAGAAATTATTTTTAAAATTGTGGCTAACCAAACAGTTGCTGGTCCCCATTGGCTTTCATAGTATAGAAAAAAATGCTATAGAAGTAAATGGAGACCAGCAACTGTTTGCTTACCAACATTCTTTAAAATCTCTTCTTTTGTGTTCAACAGAAGAAAGAAACTGCTGGTTTGGAACAACCTGAGGGTGAGTAAATGATGACAAAATGTTCATTTTGGGGTTAACCATCCCTTTAAGCAGCACAACTGTTTTCGACATAATGATAGTAACAAGAAATGTATCTTGAGCACCAAATCAACATCTTAGAATGATTTATGGAGCATCATGTGATACTGAAGACTGGAGTAATAGCTGCTGAAAATTAAGCTTGTCCATAAAAAAATAAAAATTATATATATATATATATATATTAGTGTTATCAAACGATTAATCACGATTAATCGCATCCAAAATAAAAGTTTTTGTTTACATAATGTGTGTGTATTGTGTATATTTATTATGTATATATAAATACACACATATACAGCATATATTTTGAAAATATTTACATGTATATATTTATATTCATATAATTTATGTAATATATAAATATATTTAATATATAAACGTAACATCTTTTTCTTAAATATATACATGCATGTGTGTATATTTATATATACATAATAAATATACACAGTACACACATATATTATGTAAACAAAACCTTTTATTTTGGATGCAATTAATCACGATTAATCGTTTGACAGCACTAATATATATATATATATATATATATATTTAAACATTACAAACATCTCACTGACCACAGACTTTTGAACAGAGATGCAATTAATAGACAAATCAAATTTTGTCTTTAGTATACGGTATATAACACTGAATTTTATCATCAACTGTTACTATGCAAATTTCTAGGTAGCTCTTGAGTTAGAGGCATGTACTTACGGCGAACTTCCAGTTTGCATTCTACTACGTCTTCTCCGCTGTCGTTGACCGCCTTACACATGTACACACCTCCATCAAACGGACACGGCTTACGGATCTCCAGAGTCAGCACACCCTGATTGCTGAACATGCGGTACTTGGCCTCATTTGTAATGTCCATCTTGTTTTTGTACCATGTGATTTTAGGCTGCACAAAACATTGAGATGGATTTAGAAATTGACTGTCCTGACAATTTTCTTACATAAACATTTATACGATAGATACAATTTTTTTTCCTCAGAGCCTGTTAATATCTGGGTTAAGATACTAGCTTGTGATATATTAAGCCATTAAATATTTCATGAGAAGGGTGATATGATTTTTTTTTGTAATTGCACAAAAAAACTGCTCAAAAATAGACTAATCTAAACTCTTAAAAGTGCCAGCTGTTTGGACCTTTTCTGTTTCAGCATGACAATATCCCTATGAACAAAGTGAGGACCTTTGGGATGAATTGTAATGCTGACTGTGAAGCAGACCCCATCAGTGACCTCGCTGATGCTCTTGTGTCTGAATGAGACCAAAAGCCTACAATTACAATCCTCAGCATAGTGGAAAGTATGGAAGCCTACTTAAAGGGATAGTGATAGAAAGGGATAGGGATAGATACCCAAAAATGAAAAATTCTGTCATTAATTACTCACCCTCATGTCGTTCCAAACCCATAAGACATTTCGTTCATCTTCAGAACACAAATTAAGATATTTTTGATGAAATCCATGAGCTTTCTGACCCTGCATAGACAGCAATGTAACTGACACATTCAAGGCCCAGAAAGGTAGTAAGGACATGATTACATTTCATGTTCAAGGCCCAAAAACGTAGTAAGGGCATCTTTACATGTGACATCAGTGGTTCAACCTTATTTTATGAAGCTACGAGAATAGTTTTTGTGTGCAATGAACAAAAGTGTTCTGTGTTTCTTAGCTTCATAAAATTACGGATGAACCACTGATGTCACATGGACTATTTTAATGATGCCCTACGTTTCTGGGCCCTGAACACGGTAGTTCCGTTGCTTTCTATGGAGGGTCAGAAAGCTCTCGGATTTCTTCAGAAACATCTTAATTTGTGTTTGTGTCTTACGGGTTTGGAATGACATTTTTATTTTTATGTGAACTGTCCCTTTAATTGTGATCTTTTTTATCTTACAATTTAGACTTTTATTCTCTAGAATTGCTGAACAAGCATAAATGACTGATGTTTTGGTGGTTCATATATTCGGACCTACAGTACAGTGCATGACCTTTGCTAATTGAGGTCACATGTGCTCACCTTTGGGATGCCTCTTACGGAGCAGCTGAGTGTAGCATTGTATCCAGCAATAACTGAGCGACTCACGAGAGGATCAGTATGTGGGAACTATGTCACTACTTATCATTGCTAATCTTAAACATTGTAGTGTGGTTCTCAGATTTCTGTCTATACCACTGTAAAATCATTGTCCATTGTTATAGACCATGCAGAAAATGCTGCAGGATTGCTTAGCGCATATATTAAGCCAAAGTGTCATCACTACAGTATGTTCGTGGGAGCAGTAGATGTTGAAGCAGGTAAACGGCCTGCCCATGAATGTGCCCCAAAGCCTGCAGCCTAAAGTGCTTTTATATTTAGCAGCAGAGCATCTCCGATTTCTGATTGAGATTGTCCTGTGAAACCTGATAATCCGGTGTCTTCCTGCCTGCTGCTCTGGACACAGGGAGAGGAATAGACTAGCTCTAGTAACAATGTGAGGTGAAACCCAAACCGGGTGCTTTTTATTTAGCCGCTAACCTTAGTGGCTCAAGAGTACAAAGGGGTAAAGAGAGCACTATAATGACAGCACTTAAATCAGGGCAAGGCCGTGGGCTAAGATTACAGCATGCTTGCACCGAAGGGAGCACAGCTGCTCTAGTTTGGTGTGCGGCAAGGGTCATTTTGGAGCTTTGGGTACTGGATGTTCTGGATGCTGTTCCCCTGGCCCACAATTCAGTGCTGCTGGCCAACTGTATGTCACAAGAGAGGCTATAAACTCATAGTCTCTCTGCACTGCTGTGCCACTGATAAATAGTGTACATACATTACTCAATTACAGTGATCACAAGCTTAGCTGCTTTAGATAGACAATGGTAGGCACGGGGAGGCTTACGAACCCACTAACTCTTTCTCTCAATTCGAGTTTGATTACTAACAGTACTTGACATATGTACTCTAAAAGTACATATGTACAGTATGACTCTGTTAAAGAAACAGGAAATGAACAAAATAAAATACAATTCTCCATTTTAGCAAAAACACAAATTTGTAAGTTTGGGTTTACCATGGTTTTCTTATCAGCCTTCTGGATGGTGTAGCCTGTGATGTCGCAGTTGCCATTATCCTTGGGTGGTTTCCACTCCAGGGCAACGTTGAAACCCCAAACATCTATCACCTTTAAATTTTGGGGTGGGCCTGGCAGGTCTGACAGTAGAAAAGAACAAAATGTGTTTTGATGTGTGTTTTGACACACTTGTATTGTAAATAAGATAACATATTCTGGTACTCCAAACTGTGAATGTTATTCTTGTGTAATTGTGTCAAATGTAGTCGACAATACAGGTTAAATTTACAGTGTATGCTGTCAAACAGGTCCTAGTAACTCACCAACAATCTGTATATTCACACTGGCCCTGTCCTCCACATTCTCAATTTGCACTTGAACTTCATACTTCCCAGAATCCTTTCTCTCAGATCTCCTGATGAAGAGGATGGTATCAGTGTCGCTGTTTCGTATGCTGACCTGCTTAGGGTCCAGAAGCTCGTCGTTCTTTGTCCAGGTCACTTGAGGTCGTGGTTTACCCTTAAAAGTTAGGTGGGTGAAGAACGAGTCAAGACATCTCATTGTTCATTAACTATATTACTAACAGGAAACAAAGAAAAAGTACTTTTATGAGTGGACGGACGGACGGACGGAGAGAGAGAGAGAGAGAGAGAGAGAGAGAGAGAGAGAGAGAGAGAGAGATAGATAGATAGATAGATAGATAGATAGATAGATAGATAGATAGATAGATCGATAGATCGAAAGATGGCTATGTGTAAAAGGCTATGTGTATAAGTATTTATATAAAATCCTTAAAGGGGTAATATGATGCGATTTCAAGTTTTCCTTTCTCTTTTGGAGTGTTACAAGCTGTTTGTGAATAGATAAGATCCCTAAAGTTGCAAAGGCTAAAGTCTCAAACCCAAAGAGATATTCTTTATAAAAGTTAAGACTGGTCCACTACCTCCTAAAATGCCTCGTTCAAACACGCCCCCACATGTCTACATCACGATGTGGGAAGATTTGCATAACGCCGCCCAAATGTTCACGCAAAGAAAGAAGGCGTAACTTTATTGTCTCTGCCACCGCCGCCGCCATTTTGTGAAGACGCTGTGTGTTTCGTTGTGAAAGCGAAAATACTTTGTTTGGCCTTCCAAAAGAGGACACAACTAGAAATCAGTGGTTAAGTTGTATTTACAACACTGTTCCAGAACAGTTCAACCCAAATATTCAGATATGTGCAGCACATTTTATGGAGGACTGTTTCCTGATCCTGGGAGAGTAGACTAAAATGCCGGTTGTTCTGACTCACAGACTGTAAGTACGTTTTCATATTTAAAGAATTTGCCACTGACGATTCAAACGTGAGTTTTGAGCAGTGTAGAGTAGCACTTGTTGTTTGTCATTTCTCTGATCACAAATGCAGACATGGTTTTATGTTTACACGGCGC